GTAATACAAAATTCATTTCATGAATTAAAAAACCAATCTTTTCTTTTTATGTTTTATGTCATTTTTTCAAGAAGAAATGTTGATGGTAAAGAGATAGAGGTTCATTTTGGCAGGTATGGTCTTACTGAATGAACGTTACTCACTTTTGTTGTTATTTATTTATTTATTTTTATCAGATTATAAATTAACAAAGTTGCTTAGTTTCCTTTATTTGTAAATCTGTCATCACATAGTCGATTTTTTAAAGAACATTCCTTTTCGTTTCTGGTATTGTTCAAGGAGAATAGTTACTGATATTGATTTTTCTATGGCTAATCTGTTCAAAAAGTTGGGATCTGCTAATAATATTTGTTTGAAATTTCCAGTCAAATCAATAATGTTTTATCCAATTGGTCTAATCTCTTTGCCATTTTAGGTAAAGTATGATGCCACAGTTAATTTTTATCTAATTGGTCAAACACAAAAGATTTTGGGCTGAATTTTTTGCATCTGATGCAGGTCAACGATCTCTATATACACTGATTTCAGAAGACAGAAAGCATGGCAGAATTGGAGTATCTACAGGTTAGTTTTTTTTTTTTTGAAAGTTTTCATGTTAAATGACCTATTTGCCCATATCCATTGTTATGAATGAATTGATAGTATCTATCTACTTGGGAATCATGCTTTGAATTTTGGAAGGTTTATCCATGTTTGACATTACAAATAGGTTGATGTTAGGTCAACATTTTCTTCTATATATGTGCGTTCGAATTTACATATTTGCCCATTATCAAGACATTACAAATAAGTTGATGTTAGTACATCTTCTATTTTGTGCAAAGCCACATGTTTTCCCATTATTAACATTAGAAATGAGTCAATGGTGTATTGATTTTGCTTCAAGATTTCCTTTTTGGTAATTTATAATTTTTTTTTCAAACCAATAATATGTTACCATTGTTTGTTATGATCATCAGCCCTCCATTGTCATAGTTTTGGGCTTGATTTCTTTGGTAAGTGTCTTATTGATTATGTCACTCATAACCAAATATAATTCATTATGATAATAAGGATGAGGGCAAATACGTCTTTTGGTAACTACCTGCAATGTTAATCATATCCAATAAATCATATAACTCATAGCATCGTACTTTCATTTTAATGCTCTAATATGATGAAATATGAAAGTAGAGTGTTATAATCAACAAATCAGTGAAAGTACGTTGCTATACTCGCATAGATTTCTAAAACTACAATGTTATAGTATTATGAAATATGAAAGAAAAGATGAATTGTTTTAATTTTAATGTTGATTAAAATAACTCCAACTGGGGTAATTGTTACAAAAATGGTCAATGTTGCAGGAATATATTACAAAAATGGTCCTTGTGGCAGGTAACTGTTACAAAAATGGTCCTTATTACAGGAAAACATGACAAAAATGGTCCTTTAAGAAGCTGTTAAAATTGTCCTTGTAGCAAGGATATATTACAAAAATGGTCCTTTTGACACGCAACTGTTACAATGGTAAGTACTTTCAACTAGGATAACCATTTGATCTATGGTTCTTTTTATGTGTGGTGATTATTAGTGATATTATTACATATTTTTATGTGATTATTAGTGATATTCTTATATTTTTTTATGTGATTTATTATGATTATATTACAGGCAATTGTTCAAGATGGATAAACAAGAGGAGCAACTATGCAAATTTCATCTTCATGTCAACTTTCGTGTTTCTTTCCAACAAGTATTAAGTTTGATAGTTTAATATTTAGAGTAATTACTAGCACAATGTTTAGACTTATTATAGCTTTTTGGAATATATTTTTGTATTAAATATTGAGAATATTATAGTAAGACAAGTTAAGTATTAATTTAAGTAATGTTTTTGTGTTTTGCATTTATTATCTTATTTATTTTTTATTATTTTATATTCAATTTAAATTTATGAAAAAAACATTGGATCTAATTTTGAAATATAAATGTTTTGTTGTAAAAAAAGTGCCGCTAAAACATACAAATTGTTTTTATTTTAGCAATCATACAGTGGCATAAGAAAAGTGTCACAAAAACCAAAAGTGCTATAGTGGCACAAAAAAAAAGTGTCACTAAAACCTAAAAGGGCTGCAGCGACACAACAAAAAAGTGCCACTAAAATCCTTTAGTGGGAGCGTTTTGTAGTGACATTTTTTTTGTGTCGCTGATTGCCAATGGGGTTTTTAGTGGCACTTTTTTGGTTTTCAATGACACTTTTTTTGTGCCACTAAACATTGTTTTATTTGTAGTGAACCTCGCTAATTTTCAAACTCGATTAAGTTATTAATTTGGGACCAAAGTATTTTTTTCGCAAATATAAACTCTGGATTTTTTTTTTGGAAAATTGCACAAATGTTTTTTCTTACGTATGTTTTCAAACTAACCCTTACGAGGGCTATTCCAATTATCCAAAAATTTGTTCACAAAAAAAAAGACAAATGTCCATTTGGGTATCCGGATCTCACTGTCACAACCATCATAACATGATATGCACAAGTAAAGGCTCGTTACCCCTTGTGTGGCGTAGTATGATAACCACTAGTGCATGTTTGTGGATATAAGTGCAAAAGATAACAGTGTCATTTGTCACGAGCTCCTCATATGCGACCACGAATTGTGAGTGGACTTATGAGATTGACAAATGGTTGGGAGTAGTTACATGCATTGCAGCATACTTATTGTTTTGATCTTGGTTTACCATTTTTATTAATATTGTGGGACTTATTTTTTCCTTTTGGAAATAACATTGTTTAAAGTAAATATTTTAGGCATATACGAACCTTGTTTTGATTTAGGGTTATTAAACTGAAGTGCTTTATGTGCTTTTGATTTTTTTCTTGAAGGGCTGATTTGAGTAAGTTGGTTGCTATCCCTTACTTTAAATGAATCAACTTTTGGGTACCCACTAGGTAAACTCATTTCTTAACTTATTCGATCTATGTTCAACAGTTCAGATTGAAGAACTTGAGTAATTAGAGGTGCATGGCATTTTAGAAGGGCCCAACATGTAAGGAACTTAAATCTTGTTATGATACTTACTGGCACCTTGCATTTAGAAACAATCAAACTTTTGAATACTTTTAGGGTCGCCATTTATCTACAAACTTTTAAAAACTGTGGAACTTTTAATTTAAACCTAAAATGGTTTTAAATGTATGTTTTCAAACTACCCGGGCGAGGGTGTTACACATAACTGATAGCCATTGACAACACAATTGCAAATCATGTGTTCCAGCTATTTAGGATTTTCAAACCTCATACCTAGTACATATTTCTTCTTCCTCGAGGAAACGTCTTTGTTGAAGGTTGTTTGTACATCAACTTCTAGGACATTCTCAACTACCTCAACATGTAAGTCATCCTCGTGTACTCTTTTTAGCGTGTGATTTCTCTTAGGGCAAAATTACTAAAAAAGGAGTTATTCATGGTCTTATTTATATGAGTATTTATTTCTTTTAGCTCATACATTTCTCATGACAACTAAGCTACACCTTAATGGTTTTCCTCGGGACTAAGGAATTTTATCTTTGTCTTCATTAAACCAGTTCTGCAAATTATTACCTAAATGGCCCATGTACATTGAAACATGGCATCCACAACCATAGGCAAAATCGATGAACTCGCCATGTTCAAGGGCAATAGATATTAACCTTAATCCTTTAGGTAACATAGGATCAAGCAAATAGTGATACAACTTCTTGCACTTTCTCTTGTGTAAATATTTATAGAAAGGCAACATAGACGTCTACGCCCATACCAGGAAAATTGACGTCCGCAAACAAATGATGTATACAATCAAAGTAGGAAAACAGTTCCTGATAAACATTCCTTGGAAGTGAAGATTGACTTTGATGTATTTTGTCATCGTCAACACACGACAAATCGACTGGAGGAAAAGTTTTTTTGGGAAAAATTAAAATAAGAGTGAGCGTGAGAATCATTTAAGACATCAAATTCATTTATTGACAAATCAACACAATGACATTATAGTCTCTATTAAAGAGTTAATAAATATTTTGAAATGATGTGACTTTATTGACTAGGCAAAGTTTTACCGGATAACCCTTTTGAATATATGATAATGAATTCTTTTGAACATACAAAAATGGCTTTATGCCCAAAGACCACCAAAAAATATAACATTATGGACCTTTTAAACTATATAAAAAGATTTTGTAAGGATACACTAATATTATCCCAAACTTAACTTATAATTGTAAAGTGTGTGTTTTATTTAAAAAAAAAATTAGATTACGTAATGTTATAAATCTATTAATAATTAGAAATTAGAAATATATAATATTTTGGAAATATATACTAATATTTAGAAACGTTTTAAAATGTATTTTTAGAAATATATAACATTATAACGTACTTATATTTAGAAAATTGCAATTAAATTTAGAAATGTATATATCGTAAACGAACTTTCTAGATTCGTGGGACCCATAAATAGTAGTTCGTTCTCTCAACGTCAGTCCATTACTCGTGTGAAACAGAGAAACAGTATCTCCCGCCCATTTTCCATGGCTCGTACGGAAATTAAAGGCAAGTTCATCGTGGAGTTAGCAAAGTTCGTGTTCGGTTTAGCCGCCGGATCACAGTATCTCCTTCCCGGTGCCGATAAGGCGCGCTTCTTCAAGCTTGATCCGAACAAAAAGGGGTTTGATCCAGCTTATTTGTCAATCGGCTGGATGGTTGCTAATCTGATCGCGTGGTTGATTTCAGTAGTCGTTATCTCGATCGAAGTTGTCATTGAGACCGGAGGCGCAATCGGCAATGTGTCAGTTGCGAACAAGAACAAATGGCGCAGATCTGGTTTATTCATGGATTTCTTGTCCTGGAACTTTTATCTGATTGGCTTTGGATTAAATGTGGCCTTCAATTCGTACTCTCAATCAGGTTTTGGATTCCTCGTCCTCGTCGCAATGTATGCATAGTCGTCATGGTGTGTCGCTCGATTATTGTGCTGTACAAGTTCTGGAAAGCCCCAAACACAGAGGTCAATATTCTCGGTTAAGGTCGATCTATTTTCTACTCGACTTATGAATTGAATTAGGTTTTGACTATCTGAAAATTTCTATACAGGAATTTCTAGAGTGATTGTTCTTACATAAAACATTTGTTTGAATTTCGTTTGCTTTTCACTGAATTTGTTAATTGAAACTATGTTACTGAATTTTCGGAAAACCAGATAAGAAATTGATGATGCTTCATGATTGATTTTTGTGGAGTGTATTGGATTTTAAATGCGTTTGCCTAAATTGTTAACCCATATAATGTTACAAGCATAGATTGATTCTTGTGGAATAGCATCTTGCATGTATTGTGGATTTTAGACTTTTGCCTAATCGTAGGGAAAGATGGAAAAAAATTATGTTTAAACGTTTGTCGATTATATTTGTACTTTTCAATATTAACTTTTATCAATCTATCAATCTAATATAAAGGGTTAAAATTTCACATCCTTGTGTTTTGTTAAGACATCTCTACACATACGATAAAGTTAAAGAATTAGAATCAGATATATTATTATTATTATTATTATTCTATACATATATTAAGGCGCATAGAGCTGAAGAACGGTATCTTTTGGACATTTTGATTTTTGCCACTCATTTTTTATGCTTTTTTGATTTTGCCACATAAGTTTGTAGTTCTAAGTTGTGCATAGAGAGTTGTACCATATGAATCTATTAAAGCGCATAGAGCTGAAGAACAGTACTTTTAGACATTTTGATTTTTGCCACTCATTTTTTATGCTTTTTTGATTTTGCCACATAAGTTTGTAGTTGTAAGTTGTGTATAGAGAGTTGTACCATATGAATCCAAATAAAAATGACCCGGCACGAGACTCAACTGCCATTTGTTGGCTGTGGACAAACACAAACCGATCTCAATCAAATATTTATTTAATATTCATTTTATTTTAGGCGATTAAGTTTTCATACTCATATACATAATATTTATATAAGTATGTTTATTACATTAATTTGATCTATTTTTTTAGGAGATTTTTCTCATCCACATAATGTATAGTATCCTCTTTTGGAGTTTTGGTGTTTCCATATCTTACAGCTACTATCTATGTCTAATCATTGTATAAAATCCAACTATGGTAATAACACATTCACTTTGCTTCACATATTACTTCAAAGAGAGTAACACACATACATACAACACCATAAACAACGTTCCAAAAAGTAAAGTAATCCGGCCAACGGCCGAGTTTTTTCCTATTATATTATATATATACTAGGTGTGAGCCCCGTGTATTACACAGGTTAATTTAAAAAAATATTAAACATTAAAGTGTAAACAAAAAATATTTTTTAATGTAAAACTTTAAAATAAGAAAGAAAGAAACGTATTTATTGCAATTTAATATCATATATATGATATTTAATATTTAATACTTTACATATATAAGTATATGATTTTAATTTTAAAAATTGAAACAAACCAAAAATTGACAAGTAGATAATATTTATTTCAAAAATACCATAAAATGATAAGTGTCAAAACTCATAAGAAATTGACATGTGACAACAAAATATTCATTTACTAAATAAAGAGGATTAAATTGCAACTAAGGTGGCACTCACACATTTACTGTCATTTCATCATTTGCTTTTTGCTATTGTAAGTATAAAACAAACTAAGTCTAGATCAAAGTATAATTTTTATAGAATATAATATAAAATGTGAAATAAGCATTTATTTGAAATTAGCAAATTTGTTTCTGGAAATAAGAAAATCATATATTTACAATTTCTACCCTATAAAATTTTTGATTAAACGGTTTTTATCCTTCATAATTTTAAAGTTAAATTATTGGTATTTTTAAGTTACAATTTTGATCCCTTGCTATATTTTAAGGTTACGTTTTTGGTCTCTTACATAATTGTTTTTATAATTATCAATTTTTATTAACATTACTTTTTTTATTTAAACATTATAAATTTTTCGGTATTTATTATGATATTAACTCATAAAATTAATATGTTCAATATATGTTTTCAAACTTTATTTTTGTCTGCTTCTTCCATACATAATTGTTTGGTTCGAAATCTTATTTTATACTTTTACGTTCCATTTTATGGAGAACTCTTTTGTAATGTGCACCACAAAAGTATACAAATAAAGTTACTATCTAAACACACTCGACCTTTTAAACTATGTTGAAAGTTGTCTCAAAATTTCTCCTACGAAACCTAATCCATGCCGCACTGTGTTTTTCAACATACTGGGTTTCCGCAGAATCGTCCGGATGGTCCTATCCCTGGTTAGTATTAAAAACCAACGTGGTGAATAATAATAAGCCTGTTCATATCTTGCCACGTCTCTTACTTTTTCCTTATGTCCCTTTATTTTATTGATTTTTGACCGCCTCACACAAACTCTGGCTTTTATCAAAACAATTTCAAAGGGATTTCTTCCATATGTTTCCAATGCTGATTTTTATGTAGAATTAAATTTTAATTTTTTACCTCTTAATTGATTTAAATGTATGTCGTATTTTCTAGACAGAGTATATAGGCAATACATGATGTTGTATTTATAATAAAGTTACTTCGGCTCACTTTTCTTTATTACAAAATTTACCAACATTTTAAGTTTTTTCTTTAAAGTATAGTCCAATTCTTTTTTCAAAATTTCCCCTATCATTTTTTTACACTTTATATTTGAACTTATTTTTATAAAACTACATTTTTATAACTTTAAACTTAGTTTTGTTCAGAAAAAAATATACTTAACTTATAATTTCTTTTTTAGAACCATATTTTTACTTATTCAAAATTTTAAAATTTTAATGTTTTTTTTTTATAGTTTGGTTCTTTTTTAGAAAAGTTTTTTTTATATATTGTAGTATTTTAATTTTAACTATGATATTTTCTCCATCATTTGATTTGTAGTTGTATTTATCCGTCTTTTACCCTTAATATTATCGATATTTCAATTTTAACGTTGATACTTTTAATCCTCTATTTATATAGTTTTACCCCGAAGATTCAAGATATTCGAGGTTTACCCTAATACTTTCACCATCGGTTTAATTTAATTCATTCTAAATTGATCATAAAATCTCTGCAGCAACGCACGAGATGTAACTCCTAGTTTGATCCTAAAGACCAAATACTTGCCTGACCAAAGTCAAACAACGTTTAAATAAGCGCAAACAAATTTAAAGAAAAAATTCAGTATTTAAAAGAAAGAGTGATTGTGGGACATTTTCGGTTTTCGCTACCAGAGTGTTTGGATTTTATCTCAAAACAACTTATTGACTTATTAACTTTTTAAAAAAATAATAAGTCAAAAAAAAAAAATTACAAATTTAGCCAAATACATTAATTATTTTGTGGAAAATAACCAAAAAAAATCAAAATTGCATTTTTAGCCACTAAAATCGCAGATGGGTATAATCCATCTGTGATTTCGTCATGCCATCTGCGAACGTTCAAGTGGCTAAAGCACAGACGTGCTTTAGCCACTTGTACGTTCGCAGGTGGTTTTTTTTCGTTGTATATATACCCCTTTTTCCAGCCTAAAATCGCAGATCGACATATTCACCTGCGATTTTGTGATTTTTTTTTAACTACGAAATTAATAGAGTTTGACTACAAAACAACCTTATTATATATAAACTTTTTCAAAAAATAATCATTTTTGTTGTTATTTCTTTGGAAAATTTGTTTAAAACGTTTCTAAAAAAATGAATGAATATTTGGTTTGCGTTGTAACTGACGGGAGATGGAAAGAGAGAGAGTTTCTTTAAAAAGATAGTGAAAAATGAAAAAAAAAAAACGTTTTTATACAAAATAGCTATGAAATCGCAGATGGAATGTACAAAATCACAGATGGACTGTTCCATCTGCGAACGTACAAGTGCCTAAAGCACGAATGTGCTTTAGGCACTTGTACGTTCGCAGATGGNCAGATGGAAATGCGAAATCACAGATGGACTTAATCCATCTGCGATTTTAAGGGCTAGTTTTGTAATTTGGGTTTTTTTGGCTATTTTTCACAAAGTAATTAGTATATTTGGCTAAATTTGTAATTTTCTCAAAAAAAAAAGTGTTTGGCTAAAAGAAAAAAACTTTTAAAACAATTTGTATTTAACCCTTAAAAAATGAGATTTTAAAAAGTAGAATTTATAACTTTTCTAAACTCCTTATGACTTTTTGAGTTGTAAAAGTAAATATTACCTTAAAATACATTTAAGCTAAGAAAACATTTAAAAGAAAAAAAAACAACTTATTGACTTTTTCTCACCATAAAAACTAATTCAAACACTTTTTTAAAAACTACTTTTTCTACCATCATAAGTCAATAAATCAGTTTTGTCTAAAAGTCATTATGATGATGAAAATGAAACCCCAAACACCCTCTATGTCCGTATGATTTCTGAATTACTGTTGGTGCCATCCAAAATGGGGTTCATACGAAGGTCTATCACGAACAAACAGAACAGTGATTGAATTTTCTTAATTCTTAACTTTTATGAAATATAAAAAAATTATAAATCTAGGAAATTAACTTTCACATTTGTAATAAATCAATATAAGAACCCTAGAATGTCTTTCTTCTAAAAATGATGTACAACTTAAGTCAATATGAATACCCTAAAATACCTTTCTTCTACATATGGTGCAGGCTAGGTGTGCATATCTCATCAAATTGTCTATGTTTGAGAAAAATTTGAAGGCAATCATGGACCTTTCAAGTTTAAATATTCATTTTGGAAGTGAATTAAAATACTTAAATATGGGAAATCACTATGTATCTGATTCTAATTCTTTAACCTTAAAGCAAGTCGTTTAGTGACCTTCATCTCGCAAATATTTATATAGAATACATATTAAATAATAAGGGATTTTAAATAAAATTAAAGGGCTCTTAAATAAAATTCGCGAAATGTTAGGCTAATAAAGCATATGTT